GATCCTTCCCGCATCTTCCAAGAAATGTCGCTCGTTTAAAGAAGTTTAATGAAAGAACAATTACAGAAACAAAGGGTAGAAGGGTAGTAAATGTCAAACGGTTCATAAAATACTCATTATTCGGGGATCAGTTAACAGGTAAACAACGTATAATGCGCACAGACTGATTACTTCTACTGTTCTAAATCGAATGATCTCCGTCGTTCGGCAGCGTGAATTAAGGTAAAACAAATAGCGTAAAATCGAGGGAAAAAAACTTTAGCAAATTGAAGCTAAACTAATAGAAGAATACGCGACGTGATTTTTTCCTTTTGGGGAATATCCCTAATTACGACAAATATTAGAAAAGAAAAACATTAATTACGATCCAACGAACCGCATCCTCTTCAAACGAGGTTACGGTACGAAAACCACTCTGTCTAGTAACTTCACGTTTTCCGCAATTAAAATCTTTGCTCAGAAGATTTTATGATGTAAAAAATTAAGTCTTTAAAGTTTACTTTCTAATAAAACCGTACGTTCGATTAAACATAACTTCTTAACACCGTAACTCCAACTTAGCTGAAGCGAAGGCTAATGTTCCGTAACTAGATGTTAGAAGATTTTTATACGAATTTCGGCAGGGGGGAATCGAAGGAGGATTTCGGTTTATATATTCACTTTAATGTCGGGTAGTTTCCGTCACCGTGGTGAAGGCCAAAAATTGTCATCCTGCNTTCAAGTAACGAGTGAAAGAGTGAAGATTCCCCTCCAAGTAACGCGTGAAAAAGTGAAGATTCCCCTCCAAGTAACGAGTGAAAAAGTGAAAATTCCCCTCCAGAAATCTGTTTACTGTCTCCAATACGTCGACAGACAGCCAAACGAACGGGAAATCCAACGGCGGTTCTAGAAAATTACCAACGCTCGACCTCTGACCTTCTCCGCTTCCTGTAGACGTAATGGAAGTAACAGACTCGTTGCCTTCCCCCCTTTCGACAGAACACGTGTTCCAGTTTGTTACTCGGCGTAGAAAGGCGTCGTTCCGTTTCCGCCTATAAACGCTAAGGGTCGAAGGTCGCGGCGGGTTATAAACAATCGATGACCCCCGCAGATTACGCGGAAAAGAATTCGGGTCACGTGCTCGAGTCAGAACAATTTTAAAACCCGGTTATATTTTAATCAGAGTTAACAAAGTACATCCTGTTTCTCCTCCCGTTTAACCGTTTCTACGCTCGCCGTTCTTTATAAATTCCCGAAATCACGCGCCGAAAAAAAAAATAGAGGATCTTTTGTGGTTCACTTCTCCATCGAAACCACAAAATAACCATTGGGAAACCAATGGAGTGACGCACGTGATTTCTGCACGCGGGGGGAATCTCGCGAGGATTTAGACGTCACCCGGAGTGTAGTCGGTGTCTCTATTCATTTACAACTGTCAACCGTCACTCCCCCCCTCTTGGCTTCCTTCCAAGCGAACTTTCCACCGATTTTAAGCACTTTCCTCCTTCATTTTTGGCAATCCAACGGTTCCTTCGCCCCGATTTTCGCCAAGATTTAGAATAACTGTCACACCGCCGCACTAAAATGGCGCCGAATTAAGAGCCACCATCGCTTATTAACCAATTTCTAATTTTATAAAAGGGGGTTCTTTTTTAACCATCCCCGTCTCGTGTGGCTGATTTCAGAAGAGTTTTCTAAAAATACACCCACAAAAAGTAGAGTACAACGCGTTTTTATGTATTCGCCCATCTACGTACAGAGGGGGAGGGGAGGGTTTTAGATGCTATTTTCACGAATTATTCCCTGAAAGTATTCTCAGCGGAAGAGAATTTTACGTCCACCTTAATCCCGAAAACACAACAAAGTGATTTTTTAGTGTGTAAGTGCGCTGGCGTGTAAGAAAAACCAAATTGTTTTCGGTGATTTTTGAGCACCACGCTAAACCACCTACAAATTTCGTTTTTTGAGTGAAAATTTCGAACATTTTGAGGGATTTTTTCTGAAAAAAACTCAAAGAAAAATTTTCCTAAAATTTCCCTAAAAGAAAAGTTTCCTTAAAATTTCCCTAAAAGAAAAGTTTTCCATGAAATTTCCCTAAAAGAAAAGTTTCCCTAAAATTTCCCCAAAAGAAAAGTTTTCCCTACAATTTCCCTAAAAATTACCTTTGAACTTCGCAGAGACAGAAAATAAATCAGCAATTGCAGCGAAATATGCGGACTTCACCTCGTTTGTTTACTTTAATTAAACACTTCAATTATTCGCCGGAATTGATTAAACGAGAGACAAAATTTGGACCAATCACCTTTCAAAATATTATTTTTAACCGAGAGAACGAGGCGAAATTCCAATTTCGTAATCGAAGCGGCGAGTTTGCACGAGAGCGTGCTAATTTGCATAAAAAGCCCCACCACGTGACTGGCTCGCCGTTATCTGGGCGAGAAGAAAGAGTTAATGAGTTATTAAGCTCCTTTTCGAGTTTTAATTAATGAAAATGTTTGACAACGAATCGATCCAATCGTCCATTTATCTTCGTTAGTAATAAATTAGCTTTAAACATGACCCAACTTGTCCGCGGTTACGGTTTAGATTTCACTTTCTACTTAATTACTCTCACTCTCTACGCACGAAAACGTTATTTTAAGAAGGAAAGATGGCGACTCCCGAGCCAAATTTGCATAAATTTGGCTAAGAAATAGCATTTTTTTTTGGCGAGTTTTAAGTGAAAAACACCCACCAAGAAAACGAGCTTACACCTCTCCTGTTCTGTCTTAAATAAGAAAGGGTTGCCACAAATGATGCACCCGAAAATGCTAATTTTCGGGTGCAAATATTGGAGTTTTTTTGTAAGTTATAAGCGTTGAAACACCCTCGAAGAAAGGAGTGACGTGCACTTCCTTTGGAGCTTCCACCCCCCTGCGTGCTCTGTCTCAAATGTCTCATCAGCGAAGAGGGGGTGCCGCGCGGGGTGTTGAAAATGGTAGCAAATTCATTTACCCAACCGCTACATTTCTTACGTTCCCACATTTGCTTCCGAAAGATACGATAACCTCGACCTTTGACCCCGAAATAAAAAAACACGGCTCTTACGCAGATCGATATCTAAGAAGCGTACTTCGAAAACAAGTCAATAAAGTTACGAAAATCATATGTTACGAATTATTTTATAAGGCAAAAATCATGGAAGAAATCGAAAGAAAACTGACGTGTAACGGTAGAAAGCGTATGCATTGTTACTCCTTAACAACGAGTTTATTGGGGTTATTTACTTCGGAGTTATAAATAACCCTCATAAAAATTATCTAAACGGGTTCTAAACAATGTCTTAGCACACGATTAAAATAGGGAAAAAAATTGCTTAAATTCCAGTGGAACCACAGACAGAGAACACCAGAAAATGCTGATACGTGTGTATTTTTGATTACGTCAGCAATTCTCATACCCCCCCAAAGCAATTTAAATTCTTATATATTAAATTGACGTAACGCAATTNTTAAAGGAAAAGATAATGTTTAATTACAAAACTGAGATGCTAGAGCCCTGCTCTACACTATTATAATTCGTACACGTCGATTGTTTGTACCGACAAACGGACGGATCAAAGAAAGTTTCTTCATTCGAATCGTTATAATGTGATGAAGTAGAAAAGAGGGGCTGATACGTGTGTATTTTTGATTACGTCAGCAATTCTCATACCCCCCCAAAGCAATTTAAATTCTTATATATTAAATTGACGTAACGCAATTTATTTATTTATTTTTAAACGTTTTTTCCCTTTTTCTTTAATTAAAACAAACGTAACGAACCACAAAAGTAAGAAGTTACGTTTGCGTTACTGTAGAAGGGTGATTTTGGACGATATCCAAGCGAAAAGTCGAACTGAAGTGTGTTAATAATCTCCCTTATTTTTCGAAATAAAAACCCTAACGAGATGGAAAAAAAAAACGAGTAACTTTTAGAAAAATGCATTCGTTACGATCTGTCAGCTGTATTTTTTGATTTATTATCGATCTTCTACACTAGAAACAAACACTTACACAACATACCCCGGTTACGCAGATGAAACCGAATAACGTCACGCAGCGAATTAACACGTTTCTTACCAGCTACGTAAAACAATAGCACGATACTCGGTGTTTAAAATCATACGTCACACAGAATTTCGTAGTGCCCTTGGAGATTTTCAGAGCGTGACCTTTCATCTGGTTCAACGACCGAAAAGGTGACAATTATCAAAATAAATCTCTACCACTTTGTTTTTTCAGTATCGACTTGAAATACAGTCGATCCCCCCTATAATACTGTTGATTTTTCCGTTTTATATGAATTCCATGTTGTACGAGTCACTTAGATTTTACAAATACATGAGCTGTTCACAGCCCGGCACACTTATTTGTAAAATCTAAGTGACTCGTACAACATGGAATTCATATAAAACGGAAAAATCAACAGTGTTATAGGGGGGGTCGACTGGTACTATTCTATTCTTAAAATCCGCCCGCGCTTCGATCCCCTTCGACACACATTTTTAGCCTCTGACCTAAATAAAGAAGACAAGGGTTGAACGACTCCTGGACAACTTCCTGAACTAACTACAGTACAATTCGACACACTCAATATACTTCAAGGCGTTACGCCGTTACGTTAAGAGTTACGCGACATCGACAATTTATCTTACTTAAAATGTCTGCACCGTTTCGGGTGGTGTTTCTATTGTTCTGCTCGAAGGAAATCCCGAAAAAGTGTCGACACCATCAACATTTCGTGATGTTTAGGAATTGAAGGGCAACACGAAAAACTGGGAGTAGTGAGGGGCAACATTTGCAGTCAACACTAGACTTATTAACTACACGAAAGAGAAAGTATATGTTATATATACACCACATAAGGAGTGTGGATTTAAGCACAGAGCCATACAGAAATCTGACTGGAATCACCCGTTTGGTACTCCTAATACGAAACTGGTTCGTATGCAAATTTAAACCGAGCGTTAATTCGAAAGAAAACACAAGATGTTTACTCACCGGGTCCTTGAAGGATGAAGAATATGAAGAAGGGCACACCGAGAACCAATATGAAGGTGTAGAGTACGAGAGCCGCACGTCGGACCTTCATGGTCAGAGTTGAATTAGGAAGAGTTCTTTGCTTGGAGTGACGATCGTGGCCATCCACACACCGCACATCCACATTCCGCACATCTCCCCGCTAACCTCTTTCTCGAATGAACCGCACGCTCGCACGTGTGAGCTCACACTGAAGGGGGGGAGTTGTGTCGATTAGTGACGTTGCTACAGCGCCGTCTGGTGGTACTTTTTCCAATCTTTCTTTACCATTTATCGCGCGTTGTTGTTGTTGTTCTGTTCGATCGCTTCTACTTTAAGGCTCGGTTTAACATCTTTTTAACGCCCTAAAATAAGGAAAAAAAAAAAGTAAAAGTAAAAGAAAATGTTTAGTTTTTAATCCGGGAAAGTTTAATTATGTTTTTAATTAAAAAATGAAATTCTTCTATGACGTTAAACGGTGAATAACTACGTAGAAGTGTTGCACTGTTTCGTATGACGTTCGAGCGAATTATAACTGCAGTGAGAGTTCGAAATGAATAAGGAATGAATATTCCTTATTTTTTAAAAAAATTATCCCCTAAATCCCTGTAAAATTCCTCGAATCTTGTGCACGTGGAGGGTGCACAGGAAGTGGGATTAACAGAAGAACCTAGAGAGTAGGGGTGATTCAATATCATTCTAGATAACCAGAGCGAATTTTGGGGGGTGTAAATGTACAAGGCTCAACTGCACACCCCCTTTTAGGGGGTTTTCCCGAGTAAAGCTTGGTAAAAAAAAAATTCTGTAAGGCACATTGTTTCCTTTCTGCACCCACTCTAAAATCTTGCAATGTGTTTATTGGGAGGAGTGAACTAACATAAGTCCACGTGGCACGATTTATTGACAGATAAATTCTGTTTGTCAGTCACCAGACTAACAAACTGACAGACAAACAGCAAAACACTTGTTGGATAAATCCAAAAAGAAGATTCGATGTGTTTATAACACGAACCAGACATTTTTCCATTGTTTTAATTTCTTATTTTGTTTATAAATTCGTCAATTGAAAGAGGGGGGAGAGAAAAATACTCATGTTTGTATACGGCAACGCATCACGTGGACGATCTGTCTAGGGGGATGCCACAGGGAGGACTTTCTGTCCCTATTTTGGTTATTACAAGGATCAAGCAAACTGGGAAAACTTCACGTAACCAGTCAGTTGGGCAGAAAATTCGTGTGTTAATTAAACACTCCTTAATTAAATGCTGTGTGTCAGTCAGGAATTAACGCTTTAAACGTTCTGTTGTGCTGTTCGTTCGTACACTTATAAACGGTGTCCTTTATTTAGTATTGTGTGTGTGTATACATATATAGATAGATAAATACTCTGTGTATTTTATTGGCTATTCTTTCCTATTAATGATATATTTAAAGAGAAAAACATTTCAGTAATATGGAGGAGTAGCGTGCAAGTAGATCCACAACAAAGAAAAGAATAAAGGAAAAACACATACCCTATACTTTATATAAAGTGGTAGACTATTTTTGAATTGATGAAACTTATCCATCGATCAGTTTTTTATATAAATAACTTTTATAGGACAAACCTCGATTATATAGGACCTTAAACTGGTTCCTATATATATATATATCTTGATACGTGTCCAGTTTAGGAAGGTTAAAGGAAAAGATAATGTTTAATTACAAAACTGAGATGCTAGAGCCCTGCTCTACACTATTATAATTCGTACACGTCGATTGTTTGTACCGACAAACGGACGGATCAAAGAAAGTTTCTTCATTCGAATCGTTATAATGTGATGAAGTAGAAAAGAGGGAGGATGTTTGTATCTTGTAAGAGACGTTTCCAGATGAAGCGAAATGAACAGAAAAACACTAAGTGGGAGGAGAGTAGAAGAGAAAGTGAAAGGTTGTCATGACAACGTCATTTTACTTTCGTCTTCAGTTACCGAGAATTAAGCCCGGATGTTATCTTCTGCACATTTTCGGTGTGAAACAGCGTGTCAAAAGCTAGTTTTTCACTAAATATACCTCTAAATATGCTTTTTTAGGGTTATAAATGTTTAAAAAAACATAAATTTAGGAAATTATCTGTTATAAGACATCGAAAAGGGACGAATTTCGAACACTGAACGAACACTACTTTCTTGTCTCGCGTTATTGTCCAGGAAACCACGTGCTGTACTTCCTTCCGGAATTGACAAACCTGTTATACACTTATCGCTTGTCCTTCTCGATAAATTTTTATTTTATCGACGTCACAATAGCTCATTTTATATAAATTCGTTGGAAAGTTTTGCGTTACACCAAGAGATAAAGTCACCCTGTTTATTTCTATACGAGTCTTTAGTGTTTATCTCCATTCTTAGCTCGGTTCAAGACGAGCGTGCAGTACGAATAATCTGCTATTTATTATTCATTACTTGTTTATTAAATATTCTACTCTTATCCACGTGTTTAGAGGGAGAGAAAACTGGCAATTTCCTTTGAAAAATCTTAACAAAAGTTACTTCCTCCCTATCGTCTTCTCCTCCATTTGCATGCTTCCAAGTGACAAACAGCTTGAAGAACACTCCAAAGCATCTTTCCTCGTTTATTTTCTTTGTATCTTAATTATGAATATCGTTTCGAATACTTCCAGGAGGAAAAAAACTTTCAAAGTTTTTTTCTAAATATTGTTAAATTTTAATATTTTAAAGTTCGAGTTTAAATATTTTATAAGCATCCGTCTACATATTTTATATACAATTTCGTAACGAAAAAACTGTTTTTAAATTTATTTAATGTTGAGACTAGGGAAATGTTACAAGAAAATATAGGGAAATGCTGCAGGAAAAATAGGGAATATTATAGGGAAAATATGGAAATGTTGTAAGAAAAATAGAGAAAAATTGCGGGGAAATAAGGAAACGTTTCAGGGAAAATAGGAAATATTGTAGGGAAATTGGAATAATGTTATGGGGAAAATAGGGAAATATTTCAGGGAAAATAGGGAATATTGCAGGGAAAGTATGGAAATGTAGGGAAAAAAAGAATAATTTGGGAAAAATAGGAAAATGTTGCAGGGTGTTACAAGAAAAATAGGAAATGTAGAGAAATTAAGAATATTTTTCAGGGAAAATAGGGAATATTATAGGGAAAATATGGAAATGTAGAAAAAATATAGAAAAATTGTGGGGAAATAAGGAAATATTTCAAAGAAAATAGGGAATATTGCAGGGAAATTTAAATAATGTTGTGGGGGAAAATAGGGAAATGTTGCAGGGAAAATAGGAAATTAGGGGAAAAGAAAAAATGCAAATTTTTATTTAATTTCTATTTTTAACAGGCAAAAATTCAAATTTATTCTTCCAGTGTAACTTAAAACTTTTTAATGAAATCGTAGATAATGGAAGATGAAGAATGGAAAGCAAATTTTGCTGTTTTAAATGTATAAAAGAGTAAAAAAAAAAAAAAAATAGAAAAATGATTGTAAAAAATTTATAATTAATACGTTTAATCACCTTTAAAGTTAGTTAGTTTTTAAGTCTTCCTTAAACGTTAAACTATAAAAATTAAAACAAAATGATAGAGAAATGTCGAAGTGAAACGTAAAGAAGAAAATGCCTCGGGATGTTCTTCACGTTTTTCTTAATTAAGGACAAGCCTCTGGTGAGGAAATTACATCAAAAACAATTAAATTCCTGCTCTCTTGTTAAGAAAAAAACAAACAGAATAAAAGAAAATAAGCTAAATTGATGCAAAGGAGCAATTATGCTAATGAGTTTCCGCTGTGATTTTGGATAAATCTTGTTAATTCTTCTCAATCAAATGATTTAGAAATCTGCGAGAGTCGAAGAAATAAATAAATCTTACATTCGAAATATCTTAAATGGTAATTTTAATACAGTAAAACTTGTAAACAACGGCCATTGTTTAGAGAGGTTTATATATAGAAATGACAAATTATTATAAAGGCGAGACATCTATAGAAAGAATTATTCAGGAAATCGAAAGGAAAACCAAAATAAAAGATTAAATAATAATTTATGTAGGTTTTTAAAGTGTTTTAATCAATTTTATAAGCCATGTTCACTCTTTACTCTCCGACAGATCGAATGGATGCTGGATAAACGAGAAGATCGACTCGCTCCGCATCCCGCTTTGTTCTTCTAACAGAAGTCACATAACTGGATAGAAATTCTTTCGTCACCTCTCTCGATCCCGTTCTTGTAATCTAAATCATTTAAATTCCTTTTCCAATTTGCCAAAATTGCGAAATAATTACTTGTTTACGTGTGAGGATGGAGAGTGAAGGAGGGATGATGGAGGATGAAGGATGGAGTACGGGGAGAGAAAATGAAGGATAAAGAATTTGTTATACGAAACTCGTATTACATGGTTAAAATTAGTTGATTTATGCAAAAGATTACGTTAATAAAACGAGAAAAATTAAACAATTCTTGCATTTATTTTCAAGAAAAGAACTAAATAAACGACATTAAAAAATAGTAACTAATTGTCTTTTAATTTTGGATATTTAATCTCGGTTTTAATTAAATTCTTAATACTAATTTTCTTTGAATTTTTGCAAATTTAACTCAAAAATAAGACGTAAAAATACACGAATTTTTACTTAATTTTACAAGAAAATAAAATAAAAGATAAACGAAATGAAGAAAGAAAAAAAAAAGATGTAAGAACAAGTTTACAAAAAAAAACAATTTAATCCAGGATTTAAATATGTAAATTCTAAAAATAAAGTAAAAAAAATAAAGAAAGAAAGAAAGAAATTTACTTATTTACTTTCAGGGAGGGAAAAAAGAGGGAAATTTTGCAAGTTTAAACTGGTAAATTCAGTAGAAGAAGAAGAAGAAGAAAAGGAAGTAAAAGTCACTCCAGAAAGATGAGGAAGATAAAGATCAGAAAATGTTCGATTTAGAATGTAATAAAATTATAAAACCGAAAGAATATTCATAAATAAAATGAATTAATTAAATTAATTAAAGTTTTTATTTAAGATAATTTAAGAAGAAGTTCAAGGAGAGAAGAAAAATCCTCGATTTTTATCTTCCAAATATGAAAGATTTTAATGAGAATTTCCAGGAAAAACTGTAGAAAAAAATAATAAAAATAAAACTTTTAAAGGAAATTTTAAAATGAGAAAGGAAAACGTTAATAAAAATTGATTTTTTTTTGTTTTTCCTAACGATCCGGAGTTAAAAGAATAGAAATAAACGTCCATAAAAGATAACAAGGAACATAAAAATGAGGAAAAGTAAAAATTTAAATACAGGAATTTATTATAAAACAGAAAAAAATTAACTTAAATGTATTTAAAAATGGACCAATTTAATAAAGAAAA